AGGCAGAGGTTGTAGTGAGCTGAGATAGCACCACTGCACTTCAGCCTGGGCAACAGAGCCAGACTCTGTCTCCAAAAGAAGAAGAGGAGGAGTCTGGAGTTTTCTATCTCTCCAGCATGAGAGGAACCAGCAAGAAGTTGGCTGACTGCCACCTGGAAGAGGGCCCTCACCAGGACCTCACCAGGCACCTTGATCTTGGACTTCCAGCCTCTATAATGGTGAGAAATAAATGTCTGCTGTTTTAGCCACTCAGCTGATGGTATTTTGCTATGGCAGCCCATGCTGACTGAGACATTCTTCTCCCAGCCAGGGGTTTGCTCTCCTCTGCCATCACATTAATATTTTTTGAAAATTTTTAAAAGTACTAGCCTGGCTTCCAAATTTTTCTTTTGTGCTTACTACTCTCCCATTAATAAAAGGCTTTATTATGCCCTTTGCCATATCATAAAACCACTTCAAACCCTTTTAATATAGTCTATGGTTGACAATTATCAAACTTTACAGATCAGGGAATTTTTAGAATTAAATTTTGAATTATGTGTTATACATGCTTTCCTAATCTTTCTGTGTTCCTTATGGACTAGTTGACTCCCCGTAAGAAAAGGGAAGGTGACTGCTTATCCATTGAGAAAACAGATATTTCACATTTGAGGTCGGAGGGATGCCAGGCCCAGGTGAGTATCTGACCCTACGTTCCATCCATTAGTTTCTTGTCCTGACCAGCAGTAGAGAGCTCTATTATTCTGCTGTTCTGGGAAGCCAATTTGGTTTTCAGTCCCTCAGCTGTTGGGGACTTCAACTGTCATTATAAGTGTGTCCTCACTTGTTATGAGTTGAATTGTGTTCCTTCAAAATGCATGTATTGAAGCCCTAGCCTCCAGAGCCTCAGAGTGTGACTCCTGTGTATTTGGAACGGGCCTTTAAAGAGGTTATTGAGTTCAGACAAGCCTATTAGGGTAGGCCCTAATCGGACATGACCGGTGTCCCTACAAAAAGAGGCAATTTGGACACCAAGGACCACCAGAGATGCGTGCACAAAGAGGAAAGACGACGTGAGAACACAGAGAGACGTCTAAAAGCCAGGGAGACAGGACTGCCTTGGAAGAAACCAGTCCTTTTTACATCTTCATCTTCGACTCCAGCCTCCAGAACTGAGAAAATAAATTTTTGGTGTTTAAGACACTCCACCTGTGGGATTACAGCGGCCTGAGCCTACTAGTACTTTACACTAGGAAATCAGCTTTAGTTCTTCAAGTGTCTATAATTTTTGGTTTTCTTAAGTGCTAAGAAATAGAAAAGTGTCTCTCATATTTCTCATTAAAAACTACTGCTTGGCTCTCCATCTTTGACCTATAGTCTCCAGAATGACCTTCATGGTCTACAAGTGTTTGTGATACCTTGTTTATCAAGGCATGTTGCTACTGAGTATTAATACTCATCGGGGGAGAGAGTCAAAGTCTGACTACGTGTACCCAAGTACACTTATCAGGTTAACCCTGGGTGCTTAGGAAAAAATGACTAGTGGCCCAATCTCTCTCTCTCTCTCTCTCTCTCTCTCTCTCTCTCTCTCTGTGTGTGTGTGTGTGTGTGTGTGTGTGTGTGTATCCTCACAAAGTTCCAGCAGCATTGCCTTGGGGATAGGAGAACAATCTTAATACTCTGAGATGTTGGCATGTCATGAAGGGAGGACAGAGCCACCAGTCAGAAGCCTAGGTAGGGACTGTGGAAGAGGAAGTAAGCAGGGCCTTGTTAAAGAGATAGATGGGACCAGGTGGAGTGGCTTGCACCTGTAATCCCAGCACTTTGGGAGGCCGAAGCAGGCGGATCACTTGAGGTCAGGAGTTCAAGACTAGCCTGGCCAACATTGTGAAACCTCGTCTTTACCAAAAATACAAAGATTAGCCAGGTGTGGTAGCACACATCTGTAGTCCCAGCTACTCGGGAGGCTGAGGCTGGAGAATTGCTTGAACTTGAGAGGGAGAGGTTGCAGTGAGCTGTGATTGTACTACTACACTCCAGCCTGGGCAACAGAGTGTGACTCCATCGAGAGAGAGAGAGAGAGAGAGAGAGAGAGAGAGAGAGAAACAGAAACATGGGGGAAGTCATTGGCTAAAGTTGCAGCCTTACCTTCGCTGGAAATCCATAAGCATCAGACTGGAAGAGTTTACTTGGACAGTGGGAGGAAAGGGATTGGAAAAACAGGAGGATAGGGTTACTCTCAGGTTGGTTAGTGACTGCAGCATTTTATTTTAGGGGTCCTGGCCTCACAATAAATTATTTTTGGTATAAGTATGCCCCATAACATATTTAGGACATGCTTATACTAAAATTATTTGTTGTTTATCTGAAATTCAAATTTAACTGAGGATCCTAAGTTTTATATGGCAATCTTACCCAGGAGCCGATTCTCCATATAGCCAGGGAGATCTTCATAAAAATCACACAACTTCGATGAGCCAAGCCTTTCATTCTCTCTCAAATTCAAGATCCGAGTCTTTGCCATGATCTACAAGGGTGGTCATGCTCATCTCCCCAACATATCTCCTTCCACTCTCTGCCTTGGCTATTACAGTCTTTGCTCAAAAGTCACCTACTCCATAAGGCCTTTCCCAGTGAACTTCTCTAAACTAGCCAGCTTCCCCTGATAAGATTTGTGCCTTTATTCATAGCACAAATGACTTGTGAAATGTGATGTGCCCATTTGTTATTGGATATCTTCCTTATCAAAGTGTAAGCTGTGCAGGCTGAATCTGCATTCCACGTTTCTTGCTTCTGTATTCTCAGCACTTGGAGATCTACCTGACGAACGATACATGCTTAACAAAGAGTTTGGAAAGAATAATTGAACCTGGACATCATAATCAATATCCAGCGAAACTTAGCACATTGGTGCCAACTAGCACTTAGTAAACTGGAATCTGCCGATAATTTTTAAGTTAATTAATTAAAAATAATTCTAAAGATTATTAATGTTTCTAGCCTCCTTGGAGAATCAACAAAAACAAGAGTTAAGAAACTTTTGCTGGAAAAACAAAACTACCATTCAGCCTAGTAATCCCACTCTGGGTATATACCCAAAGAAATAGAAATTGTTCTATCATAAAGACACATGCATATGTATGTTTATTGCAGTACTATTCACAATAGCAAAGACGTGGAATCAACCTAAATGTCCATCAGTGACAGACTGAATAAAGAAAATGTGGTGTATACACACCATGGAATACTGTGAAGCCAAAATGAAAGAATGAGATCATGTTCTTTGTAGAAACATGGACGGAGCTGGAAGCCATTATCCTTAAGAAACTAACACATGGACAGAAAACCATATGCTACATGTTCTAACTTATAAGTGGGACCTAACTGATGAGAACACATGGACACTAAGAGAGGTATAGCAGACACTGGGGCCTACCTGAAGGTGGGAGGAGGGACAGGATCAGGGAGAATAATGGGTACTATGCTTAGTATCCGGGTGGTGAAATAATCTGTACAACAGATCCCCGTGACATGCAGTTTACTTGTATAACAAAACTGCACATGTACTCGTGAACTTAAAATAAAAGTTTAATAAAAAAAGAAACTAGCTGGAGAAATTAGTAAGAAAGATTGAACAGAGCATTACATGTGGATGTTCAACCACTGTGTTGAATGCATATAAAATTTCTTTTTTAAATGTGTTTGCATTAAAAAAACCGTTGCTTGTTTCTTCATTATGTTAATTTGTTCCAACTCTACGTTTTATAATAGAGCTTTCTTACATTTCCATAAACACGGATAAATATAAGAAATATTTCTTATATTTCCATATGGATAGCTCAAAGTGTACTTTTTTTCCTCATCCAGCCCAATTTTTCTGAGCTTATGTATCTTTTAATGGACTGCTTTCTTCTTCGTCTCCTGGGTGGGAAGACATTTCATTTTAACTTTTATCAGTTAGAAGAAATTCACAAAAATAGCTTTAAGAGCCCAACGGAAAATGGAAATATAAGAGATATTAAAATCTGTAAGTCTAAGTAACCGTAACTCTCATCTTTAAATGAAAGGGGGGAATTCAAAGGCCCAGTCAAAGCAAAATTTAACAGGGTCTTTTGGGTAATACATTGCAGACAGCCTGTGGAACCGAAATCAAGATGAACCTTCGAAATGCAGGAAGTCTGGTCCTATCCATTTTGCATTCTTGTTTTGGAGCAATCGACTGTAACCTTCAAAGTATAATGAATGAATTGTGTTGCATCACAGAGAGGGTGGGAGTGGAGGGAAGAGGGAAGATTTAGGGGAAATGTCAGACTTGAGTGGGAGCTAAAAGCCTGTGATTGCATTCATTTGCTTCATACAGCTGAGGACTGCAAGCAAACGGAGCTGGGATACACTGAAAGAGATGGAGAATTACATATTTTTTCTTAATTAAATGTTTCTTGTGTTTTCCTTCCTGGCCTTCACTGGTATTTATTTTTCCCTACTTGTATTAAAGCAGCATGACATCCTCTATGGGGGAAAATACAGTTTCTTTTGGTTGTATGGAAATATTTACTGGCAGCCGACAAGAATATGTTTCTCCAAAGAGAAGGCTGCATTTGTCAAAGATTTGCTTGAATTCTGCCTTCCTTGCTGGGAATAGTTATTTACTCTTAATTAGCCCTAAATACAGTTGAGTGGAGGAAGGCCCTTATTTTAACTGACTGACAGTGATTAAAACGGCAGTTGATGGGGATGGATCAGAGATCATCATCGATAATAAAATCTGACGATAGGAACAACATGTATTTTATGTTCCCATAAACACAGATTTAGTGAAAGTAAGCCCACATAATAGTACTCGTGGCAGAGGCTGAATTGCTCTGAATTTAATTTAGAACAACAGAAAAGATCCAGTATGAGCTGCAGGGCACCAGGCTGGGTTTCAGCTTGGGGGAGGCATCTGTTATGAGAACTAAAGCCATTTCTGCATTTTGTACTGCATGCCTTCCATTTGGGGAGAACTTCATAAATATCTGGGATTCTCTGAAGGTGAGCTCACCTTTCCAGAGTTTCAGCATAGTTAAACTGTCAGCTAGCCCACAGCACTCTCTTGACCACCTTATCTGTCACAGAGATACACACATTCACAACTTGATGGCCAATTTAATTTCTTTTTATAATCTAAGTGAATTATCCTGGACGTTTGTTACCCTTGGGCTACTATCTCCCACTGTGAGGATCACGAAAGGGAAGGATTTACTTCCAGTAGAGATGGGAGGGACTCAGTGATGGCTCCCATCTCCCCACTCCTTCCTGACTTCCCTGGATCATGTAGTGGTGGGGTGGTGGAGGAAGTCTACCTCTCATGGCTACACTCACCTAGGCTTGCTTTCCACCACCTTGGGCCTGGACCTGCACTGTAGTGTTTTACTTATATAACTTTTTGAAATCAACACACCCCCAGAGCACATCCCCAGAGCACCCAGAGGTTTCTCTAATCAAGCTTACCTGTCAGGACTGTTCCTACCCCGCCTGTGACCTCTTGCCTTGGAATAAAGAGTGGAGGAAGTCCCTCTCCATTTCAGTTCCGAAGGGATGCCCACGTTTCCTGTCCCAGGATGAGTGACAGTTCTTTTAGTGGAAACAACCACCACCACCCCCACCCCCGCCCCCAGCTTTATTATGAATGCAAACCTTACCCTTGCAGTTTCTGGCAATCCTGATCTAGACACAGCAAATGAATTTGCTATTATATAAATCCGCCATTATTTAAATTAGATCTCTAGTCAGAAAAGCTGATCTCATCCCTCACACCCTGCCTGCCTGGAAGAAGGGAGCAGTGTCCTGCATGCTCTTCCATGCTTTGCCAGCCAGAGCTCCCACAAAAGCAGCTTTCCTGTGATGCCTCCCTGGGCGCAAAGTCTCTGATGCCACTAGGGTGAAGGTTAGCATTTTGCTAAGCTGAGTTTTCATACTCAGACAAGGTGGGAATGGAATTAAGCTCATTCATTTTACTTCAGGAAGAATTAAAAGGTAAGATTGCTTTCTCAGAGACATTTTGCAAACACTAGCAGTTTCCAACAGTGACTTTGGTTGGTTTCAATGATTGACTTATGGACCTCAGAGGAAAAACAAGGTGACCAGCTGAGTTACATAAACCTATTCAAGTTAACCAGAAAAACCCAACACCTTACATCTCCAATGTGAAAATTTTTATCATAAGAATTGTTAGAGACCTGCTCCTGCTATTTGCCAGGTTAAATCCCCATCCCCAGGAAATATATGTGAAGATTTAAGTCAAATCTGCCACCCAGTGCAAAAATAACCCCAGGCCACACTTCCCCAAGAAAATTCAGTGATGACAAATAAAGTACAATTGCTATTTTGTAGAACAGCTTCCATAAGTCTCTCTTGGCCCTGGGGAAATGAGCAAGATGTTCTTTGTGAAGTTCATACTGATTAGACCAAATGCAGCCAAAGGAAATCTTATATCTCTTCCATCTTTCTACGCCCCATCTCTGGTGGATAAGGCAGGGCTGCAAATAGCCTAAAATATACAATCACTATAATTTCAGGAAGCGAAATGTCTGAAATGACCCTTTGGAGAAATTACAAATAGAAATATGTGACTTAAGTGAGAAGCCAATTCTGTGGGGGAAAGGACTGTTTGGCAGTCACTAATGGAAGAAATTTAACAGCACTCACTACCTGGTCTCAGCTCACAGGGTGCTTGGCAGAGTGAGGCCCCAGTGGACCACATGAGGCTGGTGTAGAGATAGGGCTGGCTGCTTGTTCCAGCAAAGTAAATTGGTCTAACTCTACGCCAAGGTATGTGACTTAGGGTGTTAACCCATTCTTGCTGATGGAAGAGCCATGTGCTTGGTACATATTCAGGACTCAATAACTTGCTTATTGTTATCATCAGGGAGTTTTTAAGCTCCTCCCTTTGTTGCAACAGCATGGAGATGAGAAATACCCTAGAGACACTGTGGATATTTTTATGGGCATTTCTAGAGCTTCTTCCCCACTGCTGTTTTCCTTGCTTTATTCATGTCTCTGTGCACAGGGCCCCCATCACTCTGTATTTCTTGCCCTGTTTTATTATCTTCCAACACAGTGATTGACATAAAATCTGCTAGACACCTACTTCAGTGCTGTCTGTCTTTTCCAACTAAAATATAAGCTCCATGGGGTAAGAGGAGGCTTTTCATCTTTAGTTCATTGATGTAGCTCCAGTGCATAGAATAGTGCCTGGAGGATAGTAAGCTCACAAGTAACGTTCATTGAATAAATAAACAAAAAACAAATTTCAGGGGGGCTCTTCCATCAGCAAGAATGGATAACATCCTAAGTCACATACCTTGTCATAGGCATTTAGAGCACTGTTCCTTTACTGAGCCCTGAATATGTACCAAGCACTATGCTATGGCTAGCATTTTGTCAATCCATTTATTGACACCATAGTCGGAGAGGCCCAGAGAAGATAGGTGGTTTGCTGGAAGTCACACAGACAAGATGTAAGTGCTGGATTTGGGACTTGAACCTAGGCTTTGCAGTCAACATCAAACTTGGTAAGAAACAATGACAGTTGCTATTTATTGGGTAACTGCTATGTGCAGGTGTTGGATCTGGTGCTTTGCATATATTGAATAGATGTTGGGGTTCAAAGAAGAAACCAACATCCCACATATGCCTACTACCCTGGAGCTTTCTTTAGGCTGATAACACACCCTCTCTACCTCTGGCATGCACCAAAGGGTAGAAAACAAGACCACCTCTTCCACTAAAACACTCTCAGCCTTATTACACAGGCTGCTCAATGAACCATCAATGTCTTCCTGCTCTACCTCTCTGGCCTCATCCCTCACCACCCTTTCCTTGCTCACATTGCTTCCACAGCACTCATCTCCTTGTGGTTCCTTGAATATGCCAAGCACACCTCAGCCTCAGGGCCCTTGGCCTTACTATTCCCTCTGCCTAGAATGCTTGTCCTGAGATACCCACACAGCTGCTCCTCCACATCATCCAGTTCTCTGCTCAAATGTCATCTTGAAAGGATGCATTTCCTGACCAACAGATGGAAGCCAGTGCTCACCCTGTGCTTGTCCTGTCACTTTCCACCTGCCTTTCTCTGCTTTATTTTTCTGCACAGCTCTTATCACTTCTTGACATGTTTCACATTTGTTTTTTGTTGCCTGTCCTTTCCTTATTTGAAGCTCTGTTTTGTTTACCCCGTTTCCCCAGCAACTAGAGAACAAGGCCTGGCATGGAAAAGGCATTCAGTAAGCAATTTTTAATAAATCATTAAATTAAGGAAAATGTACCTAATTAACAAGATCTGTGTGTCTTGAAGAATGTTGTCAATTTAACAGAGAAAAAGATGTAATATTTTTTTACACTCACCATACTTTTCTAGGCAAGGTGAATATTTTTTCACTAATAGTACAACATAATTCCACTGAGACAAACATAAAAGGGAGCTGTTTCTCTGGGATCCTATTATCAGAAAGGCATTGCAAGGTGGAAGCCAGTGGTGTTCAGAGACAAGGAGCTTTCACCCCCGCACAGTCCTGGGTGTTTTATTTAGATGACATTGAGGGAAGTCTGATCAAAGCACATGGAAACCTTACGCATTCACAAGCATGCTCCTGATGCTTTCTACAAGTTAAGAGGCTACCTTAGTCATCCAGGAAAAAGATGTTGGTGCCTCAGATTAAGGCGATGATGAAAAATAAATAAAGAGAATATATTTGAAGTGTATTTTGTAGACAGAACCCAGATTTACTGATGAATTAAAGGAAAGGAACAGAGGGAAATGGAAAATACAAAGACAATTCTTAGGATTTTGGCTTGATCATGATCGTTCCTGAAATGGGTAAGACTAGAGGATGACATGGGCAATCTACAGTTACCCTTTTTAGACTTGATAAGTTTGAAAAATGTATCAGTTGTAAGTAGAGACATCAAAGCTTAGGGTAAACCTTTGAAACTGGAATACATTTTGGACTTATTAAGATAAATATAATATAGTATTTAAGCCCTATGAATGGCTGCAGCCCCAAGATGGAGCATCGATGTACTGCCTTCTAAAGTTAGGTCATAAAATGGCTTAGCCCGATTGCTTTCAATTCTCTCTCTCTCTCTCTCTCTCTCTCTCTCTCTCTCTCTGTCTCTCTCTATCTCAGGGTTCACACTTGAAACCCAGTCATCATATCTTGAGGAAGCTCAGGTGTCCTAGTCCGTTTTCATGCTGCTGTAAAGAACTGCCGGAGGCTGGGTGATTTATAAAGGAAAGAAGTAATTGACTCACAGTTCCACATGGCTGGGAAGGCCTCATGAAACTTACAGTCATGGTGGAAGGAGAAACAAACACATCCTTCTTCACATGGCAGCAGGAGAGAGAAGTGCCAAGCAAAGGGGGGAAGCCCCCTGTAAAACCATCAGATCTTGTAAGAACTCACTCACTATCATGAGAACAACAGCATGAGGGTAACTGCCCCATGATTCAATTACCTCCTACCAGGTTCCTTCCATGACAAGTGTGGATTATGGAAACTACAATTCCAGATGAGATTTGGGTGGGGACACATGGAGAGGCTCTGCGTGGATATTTTGGCTGAGATTTTGGCTTACAGTGAGCATCAACTACTCCAGTCCCTAGTCTTTGAATCTTCCAGAGGAGGCCCCAGAAATGGCAAGCAGAGATAGGACATCCCTCTTCTGTCCTGTTTGAATCCTGACCTATAGAATTTGTGAGCATAAGAAATGGTAGTTTTACATCAGTGAATTTTCGTTTAATTCTTTACACATGTAGTTACTGGCATTTCTCTTTTTTGGTATGCTTATTCATTTTCTTGAGCTAACATGTAAAAAGTCTGACTACACTGAAGCTGCCATACTGGAGATTTCACGTGGAGACCACATAGAGCTATAGAAAGATGCTGGAAGAGCCCCAGCTGTTGGAGTCCAGTGTGTTTTGAGCTTCTCAGCCTCTACTACCAGATGTGGGAGTGGGTGAGCCTTCAGATGATTCTTGTCTGCAGCCTCAAGCCACCTACCTGGGTCTACTGAACCCTGTCCCATGAGTGTATTTGTGAGCTGTTATTGTTTTAAGCTACAAAGTTAGCATGCTTTGATATGCAACATTAAATAAGTGCAACAGTGAACTTATCAAGGAAACGAAGCAATTAGTATGAAACAAAGTAGTGGAAAAGTGAATGAGAGGTTGGCAAATGAAAACAACGTGTAGTCAGCTCTTTCAAGAGATTGAGTTGGAAATGGAAATCAATAACTGTGGTGGCGGTACAAGAAAGATGAGGACGTAATTTTTTTTTCTAACATGGGCGATATTAGAGTATGTTTGCAAATAATTCTGCAGAGAAGTAGCTATTGATTTATAAGAGCAAAAAGAGTAGATCAAATGAACAAAGTCTTTGAGAAGCTTTAAGACTTCTTGAGAAGCAGTCATGTAATTGACCTCCACTTATATTAGGAGAGAAGGAAAGGAGGGTGGGTGTGTATGGAGGTTTCTAGATTTGATGGTGAGAAGGTCATGGTTTTCATCTGTATTAATCTGCTTTGGCTACCATAACAAAATACTACAGACTTGGCAGCTTAAATAAGGGAATTTAATGTTCTCCCAGTTGCGGAGACTGGAAGTCCAAGACCAAGGTGCCAGTGGCATTGATGTCTGGCGAGGGCTATCTCCTTGGGTTGCAGATGGCTGCCTCCTTGCTTTGTCCTCACATGATAAAGAGAGTGAA